AAATATCAAAATGGTTTACAATTTATGTAAGTACACCTAGTAAGCTATACTTCATTAGTTCCAAGTTTACAGTTGTGATATCTTGAGATGTTATATTGTGACTTTATTTTAGGCCTGTGTAAGGCGGTAATTAATTCTTTATGTTATTGTCATTAAGTGGGTAATGAGTCAAAAAACAAATAATCAAAACATTTCAGAGGTGGGGGTGCCAAAAGTGTCTTTGCCCCCGGGTGCTGAGAACACTTGCTACTTCACTGGTCCTAATGTGGTATCTCATAATCCATAGATCTCCTACATCACTGATTCTTATAAATGATATATTCAATGGAGAAAACATCCAAATAATACCAGCGTGTGTTATCCTTTAAGATGGGCTTGCTCAACCCTAAGTAATAAACATAAAAACAGGGTTGAATTGTTACAGGTTTCTATGTGATAGTTATTGATGCATCTACTCCTTACCATAAAAAAAGTAGTAGCAAATACTACAACTGTAACGGTTATTTCTTTGTTGTACAATATTGGCACTAGGAGCAGTTAACATATGACTTGCTTGTGTGATTATTTGCTCCATAATGAACTGTAGTTTTGGCAAACCTGTGCTGATTCCACTATCACTGGCATTTTGCAACCAGATTGAATTGGTGCATTTGCAGTGCAGCTATGGCAAATGGCCTGGGAAGTCCTGATGTCTCATAGAAAACAATGATGTTTGCATCATGATGCCTTGCAACATCTGTTGCATAAAAGCTATTGAATGATGCTTCTTTTATGCCTTGGGACTATGTCAAATTGCTAGGGCTTCCTATGTACCTTACACAAAAACTAAGTGATTTCATCCAATTTCTAGGCCATGTCTTTGTGCTGAAGGTTGAGCCAAGGAAAAACATAAAATTACTCAATATGTGGACCCAAATATATGAAAAATATGCAAACATTATTGAAATATATTAGTAATTTGAGGGCTAAAGAAAAAACATCTAAATATTTATGTTACTTTTTGCACTACATAACACAGATAAAACATTTAAAATAAAAATAGCTTTTAATCAGGATATTATTATTATTATTAAAGTCAAAGTCCATAAAAATACAACATCAGAATTATTTGCTACAGTTACATAAACTATATACATGTGGTAATGTCTTCTAATGTATTGGTAACAGGTTTAACCTCATAAGTTGTGTGCATTTCTCAATTTTTCAACTTCATCATATGGGTACAAGGTAGCTAGCCAGCTTTGACAGTATTTGATACTGATGATGTTGAATAATCATATTCATATGAATGAGCATTATGACAATTATCATATCTACTTTTTCTCACCAACCAACTGTCTGATAAATCTGCATTTAAAACATATTTTACTACAATAAACTACAAATACATACTACCATATCCCTTTGCAATGTTTTTCATTTTGAAAATCGGCACATATCAATTGTTCATTTCACTTTTAAAACATCACACACACACAAATCAGTTTACTTATTACTTTTCTATTTTTTACTGTTTGTTAGAATACAAGTTACTCCTATCAAAAGTACATGCATTTATAAATTAATTTACATTAGGTCACAGCTTGCATGACAAGCTAAATCTGAAGCTCTATCTTTCAGTGTCTCCAATACTTAGTTTTGACAATGCATCACAATAAAATAAACCAGCAGTTACCACACTGATCTTAAAATTAAATATATTAAACCAACTCTTAATACACACACACACATATATATATATTCTAAAATCTACTACACTTATTCAAAAAATTTATAATAATGAAATGAAAATACAGTTTCAATTAAGTAACAAACTTGACATAAACATTTGACTCACAAAAATATAGACAACAACAGTCTATTTAAAGATTCAATTTTCAAATACATATCTACATATAGGTTGTAATATTTTCAAAACGAGACACAAAACTTGAGTGCTTCCGAATAGTTGACTATTCTTCTTCTTCATTCAACTTTTGTAGGTATCCTGTGTGCTAACTACATAACCTGGATTTATCTACATATAGGCTTATACATTTACTTGGAAGTACAGTTTCTTGTTCTGCAAGTTGGGAATTTCAAAATAAGATCAGCCATGAATTCAAAGTAAGATGAAAAGGTATATAAAATCATCTATATTCCTGCTTTGCATTGTTCATGGGCTCTTATTAAATTTGTAGCACATATTTTTTGGGGAAATATACAGCCATTACAGCTTACAAGAAATTATATCTTTGCGTGTGCAGAGCAAATTATTATACCGTGACTTTTAAGATAAATAGTTTATCAAACTAAGGTAAAAATAACCCTTAAAAGAGTTTATTCATGCTTGGGTCAATGCAATTAAAAACAAGATAACAACATATCCACAGTCTAAAGTTAAAACCAATGATAAAACTTTGGCAATTATGATTTAGTTATTAATATAATACTAATAATTTGGATGGGAAAACAGTGTTATGAAAGAAAGGGATCTTGGTGTAATAGTTGATCAGTCTCTAAAGCCATCCAAGCAGTAAGCTGTTGCTAGTGGTAGGGCAAATAGCATTTTAGGTTGTATCTACAGAAATATTGAATACAAGTCTAAAGAGGTTATAATTTCATTGCATAGGTCACTGGTTAGGCCACATTTGGAATATTGTGTTCAGTCTTGAGCTCCTTACCTTAGAAAAACATTGAATTGTTTGAAAGGGTTCGAAGAAGGGTTACTAGAATGGTGTCTGGAATGGAGGGGTTTCATATGTGGAGAGGTTGAAATCTCTCAAATTGTTTTCTCTTAAAAAAAAAATGAGTTGGGGGAGATTTGATTGAGGTGTTTAAGATTGTAAAGGGAATTTATGGTGTTGATGCATCGTCTTTTTTCATATTTAACAGTGAGTATAATACGACTAGGGGACACAAATATACATTTTGGCAGAGTAGGAGTCTTGTTCAGCCAAGTTTTATTTTTATAACAAGGTGGTTGGCCTTTGGAATGGTTTACCTTCAGATGTTATGGAGACAGTAAATTTAAGTGAGTACATGAATGATAAGGGCGGGCTTTAAGATTTTATTTATTTATTTATTTTATTTTAGTTTAAAGGATGGAACAGTCGAGATGGTCCAATAGGTCCCATGTTATCCCAAAACGTTATGTTATCATGGTAGAGTTAGGCCTTGGATAGAATTTGCCTATATAGTCTGATGGAGATACACATTTGACTATGAGCTTTTCACAGTTCAATTCTGTTTGTGGAGTTGTGTATATTAACCATGACGAAGCCGCAAAGGCATAACATTGGTTAAAATAACATTATTCTTTTTTATAAATCTGGTGTGTAAAGGTCGTTTTTTTTCTAAACTTTTTTTTATCAAGTCTACTTACAGACAGAAAATCTCTTACTTGTAATCAAACTAAAAAAAAACTTAAAAGTATAATAATTTAAATACAATAAAGACTTGGGTTTTCACCTTTCGGTACATATATTCGATTATCTTGAAAGTTCAACATAAGTTTTCGTCTTCCCGTTGGTAAGAGTATGAAAATACCTTTAATGGCCATTATTTACTTAGCTTTGAAGTTAAACCCGTATTTTCTTTCTATAATTATCAACTGAAGACATTTGTCAACGTCTGTATTGGAATCAATAGCGGAAATCAACATCAGACGATATGGTTGCGCAAAATCTGTAGTTCTATGGTTTTCATTGGTCACTTGTTACAGGCGGTAGTTGGCTTGGATTTTAATGCGCATTCAAGCCTTTGCAAATCGATCGTACTGAATTAAGAGCTGAAAGCTTGAGTCTGAGAGCAATTAACTGGTTCCTTACAGACATTTTTTCGTGCATGCATGTCCCAAATTTGAGCTCTTTCTGACATTAATTTGTTTTTCACTAACTTTAATCATTTACATTTTTATTTCTAATAAAACCTACGTCTTAAGTAAAACAAGTATTATTTTATGTTATATAAACAGCCTAATTCTTTAAATTAATTATTAAGTGTTTATTGCTAAGCCTAACTGAACAATTTTAACACAAAACAACCACTTTTTTTTATCAATCAACGCTCCCTTATGTAAATCGAAACAACAAAACTTACAAATTTGACAAACGCATTGTAAAAGGGATCTGTACTTTCAGTTTTTATTATTTATATATTATTTTTGGATTTCTTTTCTATATTCAATTTTGCTGATGAAAAATGAAACAATGCAAAGAAATGGGTAGGAAAAAATGTGTAATGTTACTCAAGAAAAATATTAATAATATTTACCTGCAGCAAAAAATATGAAAATCAGAAAAACAAAGCCAAAGAGCTATTATAAATTGAGATAAGCACAACACACGCACAGTACTTTTTGAATATTGATGAATTTATATCTGGGCACTAACCTCACATTATCACAATTTCTTTGTATTAGCTTATATTAAGGAGATTGAAATATTCTACCTTAACTATTTTGAAAAAAGAAAGAAAGAAAATGAGGATATGTGGGTACTTGCAACAAAAAGTACTATTTTTCTTTATCACGTGAGAAAAAAAAACGTTCCGGACTTTCTGTTTATAAGAAATTTTTGTTTGTTATTAAGTGCAAAGCTACACAATGGGCTGTCTGTACTGTGCTCACTACAGGTATCGAAACTCGGTTTATGACATTATTAACCTCGGTAAGAATAATTCAAAGTTCAGTCCACTAAATGAAATGGAAAACGTGTTATTTCTTAAACTGAAAGTTCTATAAATTTCACGTTCTTTAACATAACTAATGATAACCGAAAGGCCTATTTAAATTAAATTCCATCTCTTATACCTCGCACAAACTCCAAACTGTCTGACTCATACCCTTGCCAACTCAGTATTCCATTGATAATTGGTTTGAATCTTGCGCAAAGCTACACAAGGGCTGTCTGCGCTAGCTGTCTCTAATTTATCAGTGAAATACTAGAAGGAAAGCAGTTAGTCAACATCATCCACCGCCAGCTCTTGGGCTACTCTTGTACCAACGATTAGTGGAATTGACCGTAAAATTATAATGCCCCTAGGCAGTTGCTTTACTGTCATCGTCCGTGGTATGTGTCCCATTGATGGATCTGGTTAGCCTTGCTCATTCAGTGGGAACCAGTGTGATTGCATTACAGTGCCAAGACGTGTGGGTGACAGCTCCATTTTGATGAAATGGATGTATTTGAATAGGTGGTCTATCTTAGGAGTGACCAATATAGCTATTGCTGCAGACTTTTCCTCTCTCTAGCAACAGGGCTGAAGATATTACTTCATACTGGGCCACTACAACAATTGTCTCCGTGTAGGTGACGATGTCCTTCACACCCACGTGGTACTCTATGGCTTTGCTGGGAAATCTCTCAACAATCGTGTCCACAAGGATGTCTTCTCAATCCACTGTTGTCATTACAGAGTAGGCCTTACTGTGCAGTTGGCACAGATTGTCTACATAAATAACCAAATTCTTGGTTCTTGTCTTATTATGACTCTTGAAGCTGCCCTGGTGGCTCTACCAATTATCCACGGGGTTGATTCGACTCCTTCTCCTGCTCCTTGTCCAGATGCTTTAATTGTATGCAAGGCTGGATTATCCAGGCTCGGAATAGATCATTGGACTGCCTGCTTCTAAGTCCATCCGTTCCAGGCAGTTACTTTCCTGAAACACATGAAGGACTAGTCCAAGTATTCTTTCACTGCTTCTTTAAACATTGTGAATGAAATTTTCTTGGCTTCTCTCATATGGACCTGTGGTAACAGCAAAGCCTCACTCTTTTGGTTCTTGGTCAATACTTGACCAAGAACTCACGGGTGCAGGATAGTAGGGGTACTCAGGGCATCTGAAATTCAGGCACCTAATTTGTCCCTAGTATAATTCACCATACATGCCTGCAGGAATCAATGTTTTGAAACGAGCCATTTTCGCCATTGCAGGATTCTTCCCAGCCAAGAGAGGCTCATTGAACCATGGTTGAAAATCCTTACCTGTTGGTAATTGCTGACTTGCCTACCAAGGAAACAGTTCTGACTGTTGGAGGTCGTCTGCCGGCATCACATACAGTTATTTCCAGGTGGTCTTGGATGGTCTTGAACATAGCTAGGGATATGATACTCAGAATCTTCAGGTGCCATTTCAGTTTGGCAACTCTTATTTGTCCTCCCTTCCCTTGCATCAAAATTAATGTTCAAAAACATGGCTTGATCTATCAGTCTAATTGCACAAGATATCAGTCAATTATCCTGAGAATTGGCTGTAGGTTAATGAATGTCAAGGACTATTGTAGCATTCAGAAGAGAACTTCTCCTAAGCTAAACATTTCTCTTCCACAGCCATCTCTTTCCAGTGGCATACTCTACCTTTTGGTTATGAGTACTTCTACTTTGCGAATAAGCTATCCTTCAAGTAACATCAACTTGTATACTCAAAATATTAAGCAAGAGGCAAAACAGAAAGCTACAGTAAATCCTATAGTCATTACACTAACTTTTTCCTTCCTACCTAGTTATGATGTTCTCAGGTGAAACTGATTTCTGCACTAGTATTAGATAAGTCTGCTTTATAAGAAAAGGATCAATCAGATAATTGTAAAGTAAATCTGAATTTAGCTAAACAATTGAGTTTCAAGCTAAGACATCAAGGACTAGACACACGATGTAAAGTGAAAACTATATTATATATCAAAGCAAAAACATAACGTGCTTACTTGCAAGAATACTGTAGAGTCACCTTCGTACTGTATCTGTGAATTAATTAAGAGGGATATCACTCGAGATGATGTTGCATAGACTGACTCATGTCTTAAACCAAGTATAAGTATATGTAGATTTGCTTTAGCTAAAACCGGCACTATTCAAGAAAGGAAACGTCAGTTTTTACCCATAAGTTACAAACATCACCACGTGTCTAGATATTATTTATACGCCAATGAAAGACATTGTTTTCCATGACCTGTCTTATACAATGTGCAAAGTTGCAGCAATATCCCAGTTGGCAAAGTAAATGCTATCTGCTGGAGGACGACAAAGAAATAAAGGTGACTAAAACAAACAACACAACAATTTTCTGGAACTTGTGTTTATTCAAAAAACTTCACAGAAACAGAATAAACTAAAAAATGAAAAAATTCTGTATTAATAAAAGCAGGTATAAAACATATGATAATCCAATATTTCATGGTATTTGTTTATAAAACGTGAATTACGTTTTTGGCTACTTCTGAGAAGAATTCTGTATTTTGTGTACTGTAAGAACCTGAGGTAGTATTTTCTATATGTGGTGTTTTTTACTTCTCAGTAATCATTTACATATACAGGAAATTTGTGTACATAACTTCTTCCAATTTACTAAAAACTATAATTGTAAGCAAAAGAAATAGAGTTTTATAGTCATTTTTCTGGTTTTTCCATACAGATTTCAATGAACGAAACTATCCTGCACAATATAACAAAGCAAAACTACCATTATAAAATAATATGAATGAACTGGTTGCTCATTGTTAACTGTCATATAGCATCTTAACAATCTTGTTTCATTTGTCACTTGGAATGGAATCACAATTCAAAGTGATTCAAGTTGTCCATGATTCATTGCTATATTTCAAAGAAGACATTTGTTTGTGTCGCTTATGTGGGGAGCCACTGGCGAATAGAAACTGATCAGTCGTAACAAGCTATTGTAAATTAACTACAAATGACTATGAAAGTGTAAATAACTGAATCATAGAGTTACTTTTGTACCTGAACAAGGTAGGTAATCATTCACTATGAAAGGAGACAGTGTTCAAAATTACGATTTATAAGAAGGATCTCCGTCTAGAAACGAGGATAAAAGACTATGGTTGACCAAGCTAGAGAAAGAAATGGGTATTCCTGTCGTTCCATATGAAGATATAATGCTCAAATAATTGTACCTATGGATTTCTGTATGATTGAACTGTTGAAACAGGAGCTGAGAAACTGCTGTCATCATATATTAGATGGATTATGGAGTGACAACAGAGATAAGTATGGGATTTTGGACATGATTGCAATATGACAGAGCCTTTTACAATGGGAAATATGTTGCAGGGCTATTGTCAAGATGAATGGTCATCAATTAGAGCACGATTGCATGGCGACATGGACAGAAACGACGTGGACTAGCTCTATTTTTTTTATATATGTATAGCGTTCTCAAGTTCTGTATATGGATTTGATAGTATTTATAAAGTTATTTGTATTAATGTTACCAGAATGATATATATATAAATTGACGAAGTGGTAGGAACCAAGTTTATTTTATATTTTGGAATTGTATAAGTAAAATGTTTTAGTCTAAAATGTGATGTAATTTATAATTACTCTCTATTTTACGTAGAAATATTGAATTATGCTCACAAGGATCAGTTAATAACTTTTTATAAAAAAAAAAGTTCGGGCTCTATATATTTCTATCAATAAAATTGATTAATATTATTTGATAGAATTAAACCTTACTCTTACGTAAAAGGTCGACATTCATCTTAGCTATGGATTGCCACATGGGTTGATTCAGTGAATAGCAGAAAGTCTTCTATCTGCGCGATGTCTCAATAGTTAAGACGTATTTTTTCAAAAATAAAGGAAACAGAGATGAAGAAGTTAGTAAAGAAATTAGAAAATTTATTCTATTTTAAAGAAGTAAAGACAATAGATTTAGTTAAACCATGTATGCAGTAATATATTTTCTTAATACATTAGTATGTTCAATTGATAAAGTTTGAAAGAACCCAGCAAACTATGTTTTCAACAAAGAAAAACAAAAACATACCCACACACATAATATAAATAAAAGTTTTCAGTTCATCAGATTTTTAAAGTAATATAATGAATAGAAATTCAACGAAATATAAGACAAATTTGTCATATTCCTTTTATAAGATTGTTTGTTTGTTTTTTAATTTCGCGCAAAGCTACACGAGGGCTATCTGCGCTAGCCGTCCCTAATTTAGCAGTGTAAGACTAGAGGGAAGGCAGCTAGTCATCACCACCCACCGCCAACTCTTGGGCTACTATTTTACCAACGAATAGTGGGATTCACCGTCACATTATAACGCCCCCACGGCTGAAAGGGCGAGCATGTTTGAGCCACCCACAGATTGCGAGTCGAATGCCTTAACCACCTGGCCATGCCGGGCCTTTTTATAAGAAACAGATGTCTTCTGAAATCCGAAAAATAGAATAAATAAAATACTTTGTACATAACATAATATGAGTTTTAATCTTATTCAAATCACGAAACAGTTCTTTATCGATAAAAGTTAAAGAAGCATGCATCAGAATAGTCTCAGTTCAGATATTAAAATATTATTACGCATTATTGAATATAAATATAATTAATGCAGTTTGCTAGTTATATCTTTCTTAATAGATTAAAACATATTAATTTTATCCTATAAGTATATGAAATGTGAAGAAAATTTTAAATTTATAATAGAATTGATAAAAGTAAATATTAATAGTTGTGAATATAATACTTTAATTAAACACTGTTTCCACGATAACCAGGTCTTCTTTGCTCTTTCATTCTTACTTTACTTTAAAGAAGATAACTTTGTTCGTAATTAATTTAAAATAATGTGATATATATTAAATTTTGTGAATGATTTATTGTGTCAGTGCATCCCGACTTTACAATATTTTTAAATTGTTAAATATAAGAACAAATCTGTAGGAAACTTACGTTTAAAGTTAATACTCTGCCATAAATATCTTGTTGATATAATTTTTACTCTCATAACCTATACCAAAAACAAGTTTGCAGAATTAAAAGGAAAGTCACTTTTGTCTAGTTAGTCGTCTCCAGGCCCGTTCTGTTCCACTATTTTCTTTATTTCTTTCATACTAATATTAGACCCGCAGGATATAATGACGACAGTCTTATCCTGATATCTTGACGAGGTTTTCTGAAATCCTGCAATGGCCACTCCGGAAGCTCCTTCCACGAGGCGATGGTGATGTTCCATCATGTAATAAACTGCTGTTGCAATTTCTTCCTCCGAAACCAAAACCCACTCATCAACAAGTTTGGCACACATATTCAATGTGACAGAATCTTGTTCTAATTTAACATTAGTGGAGTGCGCTAGCGTTGGTAGAGTGTCCATTTTTATTACATAACCTACCTTCACTGATTTCGACAAGATTGCAGCTTTCTCAGGTTGGCATCCAATCACCTTCACTTGGGGTTTCAGTTGCTTTAGGTAAGCAGCAATTCCCGAAATTAAACCTCCTCCTCCAACAGGAACAATTACAATATCCACTTCTGGCATGTCTTCTATAATATCAATTGCAACAGTTCCCTGGCCGCAAATAATGTCTAGGTCGTTGTATGAAGAAATAAAAACCCTACCTTCCTCTGAAGCCATTAATCTTGCTTTTGCTTCCGTTAACTCAATTGACGAACCATAAAATTGCACATTAGCGTTAAGTGTACGTAGAAATGAAAGTATCTCAGAGTTAATATTCTCTGGAACTAGTATCTTTCCATATATGTTTAGAATGTTAAAGGCATGAGCACAAGCCAAAGCATGGTTTCCCGTTGATGCCAAAATGGGTAAGCACTGGCTGGTAATATCCTCATCTTTCATTTGCATCAGCTTGTTCAAAGCTCCTCGTATCTTGAAAGATCCTGTTCTTTGGTCATTCTCCATCTTTATGAAAACTTTGCAGAATCCCAGTTGGCTCATCACCGGAGAGTATTCCATCGCTGTGTGAACAATGTGATGACATATTCGTTTTCGAGCGTTTATTATTCCTTCCACTAAATTCGGCAGGTCTATTGGAGGCCATTTTGATGAAGTTGCAGGTTTTCCCGAGTTAGTGTACAAAGCAAGTGTACTGATGGATTTAACTCCACCAAGTTTTTCACTAATGGACTGTGCTATAGATGATGATCTGCTTTTCTTCATGATTGTACAATCTTCAAACCTCGTCAGCAAAAATAAGTACACTTGTGTATTATTTGAAAATATAAATGTTTTTACAAATAATCTTTCAGTTCTCCATAACGACTAAATTGAACTTGGAATAACCTGCATTTTAGCTTGGTTCGAGTGTTTATCAAAATTAAATGTATTCATTAATGTTCAATCCCCTGTTGACTTCTTAGACTTTTGCACTTTTATAAACTGATGGCAATACAGTAGTGAAATTATAAGAATTTAAGTTGGGAAAAAAGAGGTAAAAACTTACAGTTCTAGTTGTATTAAAATAACATAGACCACGGAATTTCTCGCATACTAAAAAAATGAAGTTAGCCGTCTTTTCTTGAAAGTATGGTTATGAAAATGGAAAGAGAAACGATCATCACCGTTGCTTAGAATGTAGTTGTAGCAAAAATAAGCACACGTGTCACTCACGCCACCAACTAAATTGCCTGCATTTTCTTCAGTGCTGTGCACCTGTATGAATAGTTGAGTTGTTGCTTATGCACGTGAGATGAGAAGAGCGCAGCTGTACAAGTTCTGCTTGTACAGGAAAACATTTTGTAGCACGATGTATTTAAACAAGTCATAATTTCCTTCGATTTTTATTTTAAAAAGGAGATATATAAATAGATTTTATAGATCATTTAAGAGCTTCATTTTATAACAACAGGAAAATTAGTGTTATTTGACCACACTTCTATGGCTTGATTGTTTCCGCCTTTTTAATAGAACATGCTAATATCAGGTCTCAAATTACCAATTTATACCGTTCACTACCGGTCAGGTCCACACGTTACATCTTAATGAGTAATTTCATATTTCTGTCTGTCACAATACTCAGTTTAAAGTCCCCCCCCCCAGTGGCACAGCGGTATGTCTGCGGACTTACAACACTAAAATCCTGGTTTTCGATACTCGTGGTGGGCAGAGCACAGATATCCCATTGTGTAGCTTTGTGCTTAATTACAAACAAACAAACAGTTTAAAGAATTTAATAAAAAATTAGGTGAAACCACAAATTTTCTATGTAAAATAGATAGGATGCTCCAGCCTATACCACTACTTTTAATCGAATAGTAGGATTGACTGTCGTGCTCGCACAGTTGAAAGGTAATGTTAATGCAGCGTCATATCACAGTTGGAACTTGCAATATATACTATAAATACAATTAAAAAATTGAAAACATATATGTATATATTAAAGTATTTTTTATGCGAACAATTACATAATTTTTTCTCAGACGTAGTTTCACAAGGTGAACAAGCTTACTTGGCATAGTTTTGTTTGTTCATTTCGGATATCTATACCTATATACATTATATATATATACTGTAAAGTTTGGATATGCTGTGTAAAATTCACGCTATTCTTCCTAATGATGTAACCATTTTTTCCTTTTTTTAAAATTATGTATATATCTGTATATATATATGCGTGTGTTTGTACACATGCCCTTCGGTGGGAACTTGCAACGCTAACATTCAGTGGCATCGAACGCAAATAGCTCATTGTGTAGCGTCAAACAACAAATCATCAACAACAACATGTACGCATACATATATATATAAATGTGTATAAAGCAAAAGTGTCGTCTACGTATCGACGTGCCTATCTTTCACGTGTACAGTGTTTGAGTAATCTCAACCAAATTAGGAATGTACAGTTAAAGCCCCCTAAGGAATGTCACAGTACCCGGGGAACACTGTTTGTATCCATGTCTGACTTTCATTCCTTTAGTTTTTGACGAATCTCAATCAAACTTGACGCGCACACTTATAAAATAACACTGAGACTCGTCAGACAAATGACTGTCCAAGGTAATGGTGGGTGCTCTCTGGACAGAGAACAGTTTATTCAGCTTCTATAACTGTATTACATGGTATCAAGGCATAAGACTTGCCCATAATAAACCAAAGAACTAAGTTATATTCAATGTTGAAACACAAAATAGAAAAAAAAAATATATTTTCATCAATATGAAGTATAAATTAATGTGAAAATCTGACTGCTTAAACCCATAATTGTCCAAGTTGATCCATTATTCAACATCTGTGCATAAGTTTTCTTTGTATATTTTTTCTTTTTCTTTATGTTTCAGTTGTTATTGTGAAGTTATTATGATGTTCACAAACAACCACTGACAGTTTGACTTCTTCGAGTGGTCGTAGTGGTGACTGTATGAACACAAGCTCGCAGTCTAAAGATGGGTATCTTACCTCCAATGTTGTTTACCAGCTTACATGTAACATTGCCATCATACATACATTGGGGAAACAGTATGAACTCTATACATAAAGATATGACATGTTGTATATTTTTATAAACAACAACATGAAAGAAGCGCAGTCGCAAATCATTTTTTAACTGATCGTGGACAAATAACACCTTACATGAAACCATCATTTTCTATAGAAATCCTTATCAAAGATAACAAGTACACTAACAGAAAATTTAAAGAAGCTCTCCTCATCGAACATCTACGACCACAGATAAATAGGAAGAAAAGATGGCGCCTTATAATAAGTTTATATTTTTCATCTTGAATTTTGTTATTTCAATCTGTAATTTAGATAGAACATTTAATTACTACAGGTAGCAGATTATTATTTTGACCATACAATTCTTTTAACAAGAAGCTTCATTATTTAATATGTCAAACGAACACTATAGAATTGCACACTATAGAATCAAAAATAATTTATTACTAAAACCAACTGAAGCAGTTTGTGTTTTAATGGAAAGCTTCTGAAGAAGCTTTAAAGCGAAACGGTGAGTGTCTAATTAAGGAAAAATATTTTTTTTTTTTGCTTTTACCACTACACCTACACCAATATGTAAATCTGATTGCATTAAACAATAATGTCTCAAACTGATCCATCATTTAATATCGGTAGTTGTTTAAGCGTGTATAAATTTCTACCGATATATTTTTTCTTCTTGATATTTCAGTTGTTATTGTGAAGTTATTATGACGTATACAAACAACCACTGATATTATAAATTTTCGAGTGGTCGTAGTGATGGATGTATGAACACAAGCTATTTACGTGTTTTAGTACATGGTAATGCTAGGCTTAGCAGACTCAGTGTTTTGAACATTTTATGACATTTTCGTGAAATAATTAAGAAATGCCGTACGCCAACCAGCCTTCTGTTCATATTAGTGAAATTACCAAAGAAAATGTGAAATTCTTTATTGAAGATACTGATTTAAGGTAATCTTTGTTAGGCACAAAGTTTAAAAATTTAAGTGATTAACTATGAATATGATAGTATGAACTAATTACTGAATTAACTGTTAGTGTTAAATTGGACAATCTGCTTAAGCCTTTATTTTTGTTTAAATTTTATTTGTTATTTTTGTATTAGTAATAAGTCTTTGTAACTGAGTTTAATGAAATTAATTTTAAGTTTTTCTTTATGAAGGTTGCTATCAATATCATTAAGTTTGTGTAGTTTAAAAATGTTAAGCATTGCTTTATTCATCAGATATCATTTATTTGATGGCAAAACATTCTAATCATTATAATTTATAAGAGTAATCATGTTTGTAAACAAGCACATCATTGTGGTGGGCAATCTCTGCATATAACAATGGCAAACACTTTAGTGACCATTAGGTTTTGAATATGGGCTGGGATTCTTTTACAGTATGTGTCTGTGACTTACTGGTGATCAATTAAAACAATAAATGGACAGCACATAATCTACTTGTTTTAAAATAATATTTTTGAAATAAGTCAAACATATGTACAAAAATTCTTTACACTATAGAATATCACAGTTGTATCTAAAATTCTAAATACTTATATTTTTTATTCTCCTGTTATCACAGTATAACATATTGGCTTGATTATATATATACATACATACATACATTGCCCAACTGAGGGCTAGAACTTTCTACAAACTATGACTATGAGATGCTATGATGTGACAATACTCACTTAAGGTAACAAGAAAAATACAGAAAGTTTGAGTTATGTGATGTACATTTACAACAATTGAACTAAACACACACGCACCATATGACTCGTACAGAGTTACGTAATGAACAAAATTGTTGTAACTATCGTTTTTACAATAATCAACTTTTAACACACTTGTTATAAAAACTAAATAATCATTAAATATTAAATCACTAAATGAACTAAATAGTAATGCTTATACTAAACAGTCTTGTATGTCTAACAGTGACTAAAGACAAAGAATCATCTGATTTATTTCCAAGTATGCCCAAACTGCTAAAGTATCTGTGTGGACTGCCTTCGAAAGTAATATATCACTATGTTGGAAAACATAAATATAATACTGGACAAGCTACACTGTCAGACCCTTTTGTTTTGAACAGTAAACAGACAGATGATTGACTAGCCTGACTTGGGAATTGGTAGCATTTATTGTTAATTAATTAAGAGGTCCAGTATTTTCACTAGAGAGAAATGAAAATATTTAAATCATTAGAGGTGTACACATTTTTTGCTTGTATTAGAATATAATATGCAAAGGCTATTTCTTGTAACTTGTGTAGGAGTAACTAGATTATCATTCCATATATTGACATAAATAGATAGGTGCAGATGGACATGACATTTGACCATCACTGTATAATTAATGCAGGATTTCAGTAGTTTTTATGTGATTTATTGCTCAAATATTAATGTTTACATTTATATGAATGTTAAAATTTAACTCATTATTTTCCCTATACGTACAGTTTAATCTTTTCTTTGAAATGTGTTTTTGCACGAAGAATGTGGTTTATAGAAGGGAAACAACCTAGCAGTTTTATGTAAAAAATTAGAGTTTACTCGTTAAAGTTTATCTAAATAAAACATAATCATCGTATGTACTTATACAATCTAATACACATTATCTAAACATGGGCTACTGTTAATATTTTTCGTTACCACTGTGGTATGTTCTAGACTACTTTTTATGCAATGTTTAAATGTTACAATGCCCACAGTGATGTATGGTAGATGAAATGCCTGGGTAGGCATTAACATTAGGCCACATTATTAGAAACAGTAACACACTGTGTGATTTACACTGCATAAACTTTGATAAAGTACAAACCAGTCTTGATCTATAGTTTTTTTCTTTACTCGTATTAGTTTAAATGATTAAAAATTTCAATTGGAAATGGTAGTGCAGCATAGAATATAATAGGTTAAGTTAAATGTCAAGTTCCAGAAGTAAAATAATTCAGTGCCTTTGATTTTTGCCAAAAATGATGCTTCACACAGATAGAATAAAAAGTTTTATCGATCTTTCCTTTGCAGGTGATTACACAAAAAAACAAACCAAAGTAATAAACATATATATATATATATTATATATATATATATATATATCTACTATACTAAATAGTAGTATAATTAATTAATTAGTTAGTAGTT